TTTGTTCAGAGGAATTCTTGACTATAACGCGAAATTTACTATATCGAGACTTGACTATATCGAGTCTTGACTGTATTAGGTAAATACCGGTAGATAAAACTTTAGCACAACACGAGCCATAACAATAAAATCAGGCATCGTTGAGATGTAGTACAACACATGGACAAATTGCCCAAAACGTGATGATGAGCGTTAGTTAGTTATCACCTAAAAATAGTTAAGCCTGGACAAGTCTTCGTGTGTCTCCATGAAGACTGAACACAAATAAGAACAATGACAAAAGCAGTCTGTAGTCACACTCACAAAAACTTTATTATCATCTCGCAACTGCGATTGCTAATCTTATCGGGAAGGTAGCCGATGAAAGCACCCCAAGTCAACAATTATTCATTGGTTCGTTGAAAATTTACGTTTTATAATATTATTGATTTCGTTCTACGTACTTCTCACTTTTTCGATCATGGGCTCCACTACCGTTCCAAATAATTATCCGTACCATTGGTCACAGTGGCAACGTCATCACCTAGCTTCCGGAGTTGTGAACCGGGCATTCACCGATTACGATTGATTTTTGGTTTGACAATCTAATATTTGTATCATCGTATGCTAATTATATTCGGTGGTAAACCTAAGCTCCTGCGTCTTGTGACTGTATCACATAATATATTTTTGCTGATGTAAGCAAGGAAGAATATTTGGTTGAAAAAAATGATCTATCGCTATCATTTTAATCTCTTGGTAAGGCTTAAATCTAATCAACTATTGTACAATATCGTCCCCTGATATAAAACAATTGTTGTACAAAATTTTAATGCAACGTTTCCCCCTCGTTTTAAGGCTGATGTCAACGCTTGCTACGGCCTTGAGTTTACACAATATTAATAATACCTTCCTATGACGACTCTTTAAAGCTGCTGTTTTATTTTTAGTTTTGTTTGTCCAATTAAACAAATAAACACGAACACAAAAACAAAACCAAAAAACTTTTAATTAGGGGGTGAAAATTGTACGAGTATTGTGCTTTCCATTCGTTATACGTCAATTAGAAAATATATATACATAGATATCTTGTAATTTCAATAAACATAAAAGATCCAAGTCCCATCGATTTTGTTGTATACTTTTTGAATTGAATAGTTTATTACGTTGATTATCATGAGGAGTCCTGATACAATTGCAGAGGTCTGGCCCGACATGTGGCCGACGCATTTCGCCTGCTGTTTAATAACTAGGTCTGGTATAATTTTATTCACAGCAGGCTACGCTGTAAGTTCCGGGGATTTGTTAGCTCTACAATTGCCCGCAATCTACAGTAGTGCTACCCATCGGAATGTCGAAATTAGCAAGATATCACTTCGGAGTGGTATGCTCATTGGACAATTGATCTTTGGGATTGTGGGTGACTTATACGGAAGAACGAGGGTAGGATATTGCTTCATAGTTAAAAAAAAACCGTTTCGTTTTCATAGAATCTTTAGTAACAAAAAAATTTTAATCTCTAACACGATCTTGTAACTATTGCGAGGAACTTTTATTAACACGTATTCGTAACACACAGGCATGCAACATAACATTGCTTCTCATATTGTTCAGCACTCTCTCTATTGCCTGCTTGGGGGATGGTCCAGGCCTTCAGATTTCCAGTAGCTTGGTGATAATGCGGGTCATTCAGGGAGTGGGAATTGGGGGGTCGTATCCCTCAACCACATGTACGTATAGTAATAGGCTTATTTTGCACACTACATTTCTGTAATTCATCCTAACCTGTCTTGTATTTCAGTGATGGTGTCAGAATACGCCCCGACTAATAAAAGACCAATAATGCTGGCCGCTATTTTCTTATGGTATATATGCGGTTCTTTTTATGCCAATGCAGTAGCGGCTATAACGCAGGTCAAGTCAGATCAAATTGATAGTATATGGCGCTTTGTTGTTGGCTTTGGGCTCATCCCGGGGGTTGCTGCTTTTGGCCTTTTACAACTGTGGAAGATTTCCGAAACGCCAGTATTTAGAGAAAATCACAGACAAAACAGAGGAGTGTTGTTGTGGGGCAGGGACTTTCTCAATTACCTGTGCGATAATCGCAAAACATATTTTGCGATATGTGGCGCTTGGTTCGCCGCAGATGCTGTCGCCTATGGTTATCGTTCAGATATACGTCCGAGCGATATAAACGTCAATCAGGATAACACAAACATGAGTGGAGTGTTAATTGATAATGTCATTCGCGTGTTCTTTGGTTCCGTATTAGGAGCCTTGGCTACGCTCGTCTTTATTTCGTATTTACCGCGCAAAGTCATAATGATTGTTGGGTTTGCTGCCTCGGCCATTCTGTTCGCCGTTTTTGGATTCTTTCCAGGCAAGATGGGATACATCTCCTATCTGACTCTTTCTACGATGATCATGGTGAGTCTATATCTATTGAAATTATAATTCATTAAAAATTATAAGAGATTATTAACATTGTTACATCTTCAATTACTAGTTTGCCCAGAATTTTGGGCCTAATGCACTTACCTTTATCGTTGCTGCGGAGCTGTGGTGCACACAATACCGTTCGACTTCCTACGGTATTGCATCGGCTTATGGCAGACTAGGAACTATTACCAGCTACACAATATTTAGAGTTTTTGCAATCGATAGCGACAAGACTTTTATAGGGCCTCTCAGTCTTATCATCGTTATGGTATTGGGTGGTCTCGTGGTCTTGCTTTTGCCTGAAACTGCAAACAGAAATTTAGGAGATGACGAAGAAGAAGAAGAAGGAGAAGGAAAAGGAGAAGGAGAAGGAGAAGGAGAAGGAGAAGGAGAAGGAGAAGGAGAAGGAGAAGGAGAAGGAGAAGGAGAAGGATTAGTGGTCCGTTGGGGGACGGGACAGCCTGTAGTAGTAGGAAATCCGTGACGTGTTCTTATGCACATAGTTGATATATTTATTTCTTGAAAATGTACATAATAATAATGTTTCAAATTAAAATTATTACATTACTTTAAATACTCTCCGTCTACTTTTATATAACGTTTTTTTGTCAATTGCAAGACTCTTTTAGGTTTCGTTATCATAGATACAAAAGTAATATTGTTCACTACCCTAGCCACAAAAAAAAACATAAAATATTATTTTGCGTATTAGTTTCTTCGACAAACTTTAACAACATACACAGTGAAACTCGATAAGTCGGACACGACGGGCTGGGCATGGCTGTCCGACTTATCGAGAAATCCGAGTTATC